TCTTCATGGAATTTTTGAAGAGATCGCGGAGATTGAGGAGGAGGAGGAGGAGGAGGAGGAGGAGGAGGAGGAGGAGAACACAGGAGGAGGAGGAGGAGGAGGAGGAGGAATAACGGATTCAAGGGAAAACGTGCATTGGTTCAGGGGCTCAATCAGACTGCGAGGAAATGAGGCCTCTTCAGCTAAATGAAAGCTTCCAACTTGGCTTGACCGCCAGATGGCGGCACGATTCACCAAACGTAAAATGAGGAGTGTAGCTGGGCACCTTCTTGTTTTGTTTTTGTTTTTGTTTTGTTTTTGTTAACGTTAAATTTGGACCATTTCTCGATTTAACCGTATCACAGGGGCCAGGCTAATCTTCTCTGTATGAACACCGTGTCCTGGGGCGAGGTCCCACTAGCAAAGAGGATTGGATAAAAATCCTGAATCTGGACGTGTGTTAAGCAGAGATGCAGGAAAGCAGTTCAATCGCGACATTCTGCACCTTTCCACAAACAAGTCCAGATTCAGGTGTTCGATCCAATCCCCTTTGCTAGTGGGACCTCGCCCCTGGATGTAGTGGTTACGATGCTTGGCTCTTGAAGCCGAGGTCGCCTTCCCAAGAAAAAGACAAAAAGAAAAAATCTTCTGTGCATCGTTCCAATTTTATCGGATGTCCCGAAGGACAGCTTGCCAGCTTCTAGCTGAGGATGCACTCGCCATTTAAACAACGTGTTTGATGCACTCGGGATGTGCACAGAGACCCTAAACCCTAAACCAGATGAAACGAGACGAAATTAAACAGCCCCCGTGCATTTCCACGAGTAAGATCTACTCCGTTAGTGGACTTTTGGGCTCCTTGACAGCCGGTTCTTAACAATGAACGCACCTTGCCAAGTTCTGCTGCACTATTCATTAACCATTCTTGCATTTGGAAAAGCTGTGGAAAGAGGCCTATATTCTGCTGCTTGGCGGTCAGGAACTGATGATGACGGTATCGTCTCTAGACTGTCTACCCCGGCCGTCAGCAGGTCATTCCGTTCTCACACAGCTGTGGTGGCAGTCTTGGGGGTTGGGTGGGTACTCTTCGCATAAAAGGGGTTGCTGGGTGTCGGGGATAGGGGACAGGGAGGAAGGATGGGGCATAAAAGGGGTTGCGGGGTGTCGGGATAGGGGACAGGGAGGAAGGGTGGGGTACTCAGGTCATTCCGTTGTCACACAGCTGTAGTGGCAGTCTTGGGGGTTGGGTGGGTACTCTTCGCATAAAAGGGGTTGCGGGTTGGGTGGGTACTCTTCGCATAAAAGGGGTTGCTGGGTGTCGGGGATAGGGGAAAGGGAGGAAGGGTGGGGCATAAAAGGGGTTGCGGGGTGTCAGGATAGGGGACAGGGAGGAAGGGTGAGGTACTCTTCACCGCCAACACTTCTTGAAGGTCGGACAGAATCGGGGGATGGGCCAAGGTCATTCTGAGTGTTTGACTACCCAGGGCCTGCTTTTCGCCTAAACCGCCCAGTGCATGACACCAGCCTTGCAGAAAGTTTTTGTTGCCACAAGCAAAACTCGGAGGGGCCACGCCTGATGTTAATAAAGATTGATCTTCTAAAAAAAAAGAAAAAAAGAAAAAAACTCGGAGGGGCCGTGCGACGGTGCCGTTGAAAAAAAAAATCTGCGGCCTCCGAAGGGGTGCGGGTTCCACGCGAACACCCGCGGGCCTACGTATGGTGTACTGGTGCTGTAAGGTCAGGCCCCACTGAAGGTCAGACAGAAGCGGGGGATGGGGCAAATCAACTGCTGTTGGCAGCCATTGGATTTCAACACCGAGGCATAAGCATAGCTCAGTGGGGTTTGTCCCTTAGGGCCTGATTCCACTGCCCTTGCTATCCTCTTCCTGGGGGACAGGGCCCTTAGCCGCAGAGTGAGAGAATCGGGTCAGGTGAGCGAGGGACGCTTTTTACACCTAGCAAGGCCCCTTTTTGGCCTTTTATATCTAGCAAGGCCCCGTTTTGGCCTGTTACCCGGGTTACTGGATTGCTGGACAGCCGGCGGCAAGCTTCCCGTTGCCATAGATTATGCAGGTCAACGGTTTGAGATGTAGACTCGTGTAAGTGGGACTTTCCCGTTGCCACTGAAGTCTGTGGTTATAGTTTATATCTCAGCCCTCCCTGATGCGTGCCGAGGGTACTGCCCTACCCCCTTAAATATTTTAAGAGTCTTTGGTACTGGGGGTTATCCAAGCCGGACACGCCCCCGGAGCCAGTCTCCAGCGAACTCATTTCAGGAAATCAGCCCATGTACCAGCGGCAATTCTGTAGGGCCCAGGTCCTATAACCCCCAATTGCCCTGGGCCTGTTTCCTCACCACTCGTAGGGACAACTGTATGCCTTGGAGTCCGTCGTTATAACTATCATTCGTTCAGAGTGTCATATCTCCTGTGCTTGGAGTTATATGTCAGGCTTGCATGATGTTATCGCCCAATTCAGTCCGCCACTTCCGTTTTCCGCTTCACAGATCCTTATCCTGTGGCGTCTAATGCCTGAAGGTGTGTACTGTGCGTCTACTGCCTGAAGGTGGGTACTGTGCGTTCGTACTGTCCTATCGGAAGGTGTACTTGGTGTTCAAACACTTGGCCGCAATCCGTCTACATGATGATTACCGTCATCGTCTTGGTGAGCGCTTGTCCACCTTGGGGAGGCGATTGGCATTGTGAGACTGGAGGTCTTGTCCGATATCCATCCCTCCCACTCTCTCTGCACTACTGCCACAGCGGCTTAGAGATGGGCACTCCAGAATGCATCTGTGGGGGCCCACAAGGGCCGAGGTCTTGCCTGACGTCCATGAGTGAGACCTGTGGGGACCAGGAGGGGCAAGGTCTTGCTTGATATCCATGTCTCGCACTCTCTGGTCTACTGCCATCCATGGCGACGTAGAGGTGGGCACTGCAGAATCGTCATCAAGACTTGCGGGGGGGCCACAGGTGGTGAACAGAATCATATGCGTGCTGCTCTGTGCCTTAGGACACTGCATTGCAAGCCATGAACACGATCTCCATCATCATCTCAGTGAAAGCTTGTTCACCCTGGGGAGGGGCCACTGGTCTTGAACAGTGGTCGGGTCGGGTCTGGTCTGGTCTGGCCCTCCCACTTTCTCTCTCCTAGCGCCACGTGGGCAAAAAGGTGGGCGCCACAGAATGCCTCGAAGGCCTGTCGGGGGGGCGTAGGGTGCAGGCAGAATCGTATACATCGTCATGGCTACTTGGCAATTATTGTTTTGCATGCACCATTCACATGAGCAAACTGACCAGCAAGGCAGCATTACCAGGGGCACCAAGAAAGCATGGATGAGTCAGGAACGATGAGGCATGTGGCAGATGGAGTTGCTTGCTTGTGCTTCTCCAAGTCGTGATCACTGAGTGGCATGTCTACGATCTGGGTTGGCACGCACGTCTTCAAGCACGGAGGACTGAAAGGTGTCACATGAGTGCACCTGTGTTGCAGATGCCAGGCCCTTGTCAGACAATAGACACCCATTCATTCCTATCAAGTGCATGTACTAACACAGGTGGACTGAATTGCCCGACCTGAGACTGAAAACCACTACCATCTTCCCCTGAACACAAGCACCCTGATAACAAGTGAATGTAAGTTGTTTTGCTGGTCTGATATAGTCATGGCAAGGGCGCGCTGTTCGGGGGAAGACGATAGTTTCTCCTAAGAGTCTGAACCTGTCTTGTTGAGCCTACCTTTTGGACTGACCCTGGAGTTGCTGAACCTTGGACCTTGACTGTAAGAGCCCGTTAGACCGACCCTGGAGCTGCTGAGTGCAAGGTCGAATTTATTTATTTGGCGGCACAGATCTGAATGTCCTAATGTCTGATCAGATGGTGAAACCACTGTCTGCCCGTATTGGGTGGAGGTCCTGGAAGGGGAAATCCCACTGCTTTTCGGTGATGCACAAATCTGTCATCTTCGTTAGTCGGGGTGCCACCACTGGCTTTGGACAAAAATGATGGGCTGGGGTATTGTGCTGGGACGGTCCATACAGTTTCCAGTTACACATCATTGTCAATGTAGTGAATCAAGGGACCACTCTCACCGTCTTTGTCATTTTCACACACAACCACTTGCCCTCCTATTTGTGACCGAAGAAAGAGCGTGTGTGTGTGTGTGTGTGTGTGTGTGCATGTGCGACATGCAAGGGTGGTCGTTGCAAAAAGATCAAAGCAATCTGTCTCTCTCTCACTCTCCTACCTCACATACACAGGAAGTGAAGAACATGTACGAGCAAAGCAGACTTTCTCTCTCGCACATGCAGTCCTAGATGTGCACACACACACTTTTCTGAATCTATTCATCTGGGTGGAATTGGGGCTGATGTGGGGAAAATTTATAACACATGCTTTTTTTCCGCACACATGTACACACCACATTGCCCACAGACATTCTCGGTGGCACCTTCAGAGCATTTGTCCCCGGTGCTGTTCCCACTATTGTGTGGCATGGCTCAGCTGGAATGTAGTGAACACTTGGAGGTCATCAACTTTAAGGATTGCAGTTGTTTGTTTTCCATGCTGATCTCACTGCCCTTGCATTTCAAACGATAGCCAGTGTGCATCCCCCTTGTCGTAGTCGCAAGCAACACTGCTATGGGTCTACTACTTGTGCAAGAGAAGAATTGCTGATGTGGATGAATGTGGCTTACCCGCTGTGATCTGCCCCTTCTTTCTTTTCCTGTACGTTGCTTTTTTTCTTTGCTATGTCTCACTCAGTTTCTATTGATGTACGTGATGCAGGGAAGGGGGTGACACGTCGCGAAGGAAGACCTACCTCCCACCTGGAAAGCAATTTCTTGTCACGCGCAACGGTAAATTAGAGTCATAGCAGCGAATCCCTCTATCATTTGGCCCTTTTATCCTCTCCCTTTGCTGCACTCTCCACTGTGGCTTCCTTTCAGAAACAGTCAAATGTTAACTGGCACCCCCAGTATTCAGTGTCTTTCCTGCTCTGTGGAACTCGAGCCTCGAAACATCATTGCACCACCGATACACAAAAGGGCCTCCTTTTTCCCAAAGTGGTCGCCGGAATATTCCTGGATTTACCGCTCACAGACTGCCACAAAACAGTTATGGTACTTGGGTTCATGAAGCTTGGCAGGTCAGCCCCGATTGTGGCGGGGTTTGTAACCAAACATCCACTGTGGTGTAGCTCAGACATTACGGAGACAAGTCGAAGTCAGAAAGGGAAGAAATACCTGAACGCTAAAACCCTACATCAAAACACCCTTCTCATGCCGAATCAGTGAAATCACCTTTACCAGCCCCAAATTTCATCCATATTGCCCAAAGTAAAGTGACAATGTTCTTATTCGCTGGAATAGTCTGAGCTGCCATTTTTCACGGCTCCAAGTGATACGAGGCCTGTCAGCCTGATGACTTTTTCTTCCGGGAGAGGTTCACCCGTGGTGGCCTCCCATAGTCTGGCCACCCTTTCCTAGATTTGCTTGGCTTTTGTACTGTGGACTAAGCAGTGACGCATGGAGTCACAAATAGGTATAGTTCAATTAGGTAGCTCCTGTCTTCTCTGCGACTGCTCTTGCTGTGTCATTGATTTACCGGGACAGCTAGGTAGGAGACTCCTCGCCTGCCTGTTTCTGATTGATAGAAGGGTGTTCCGCATGGATTTTGGAGGTGAGGGGTAGGCAGCTCTGTAAGCATTTCCGGCATCTCTGATCTAAAACTGTTGTGAGTGCCTGTGATCTTCTTCTTCTTCTTCGTTTTTGTCTTCTTTGTCTTCTTCGTCTTCTTCTCTTCGTCTTCCAAGCCTATAGCCAAGACCGTTCTATTGGGCCTATTTCCAGGTCCTGTATTGGTGTGATATGGGAGAAAACGGTGTATTCGTCATTTTCTACAGCCCTGATTTTGCTCACCAGTTGTTCTTTTATTCATACCTGTAGCTCGTTTGTTTTGTAAACCCTGCTTATGTTAGACCCTCTCTCATTTCTGTCATGAATTGCTGTAGAGAAGGCGGCAAGTCCATACGGAGCTCAGCTCAGAGAGGTCGTGAGAGGATGTCATAACCTGCAGGCAAGTCTTAATGGCGTACTGCTATCGGTCCCATTGGAATGGGACCAGGCAGAAGCAAACCCTGCAAATGTCACTGACATACTGCTATCGGTCCTGTTGGAATGGAACTGGGAACGGTCCCGCTGGAATGGGTAACGTTACCGGAAAACGAGGACTAAATGTGAGCAGGGAGACTGGGCGACCTGGCAAGAAGATGCAAACCCGGCTGTGCGCAGGCCAGCCGCATTTGCGCCAGGGGCGCAGAGAGTATTTTATGTATTTACTAGATGACCTGTTGCAGCTTCGCTCGCAAAAACAAATATGATGGGTGATGCATGCATGGTGTAGGC